AGAGAGGTAGATGTATCAAACAGAATAGAGAACCAAGAGATGAACCCATATGCTTATCGTCATTTGATCTTTGATAAGCATATCAAAAATATGAATGGGGGAAAGATTCCCTATTTAACAAATGGTGCTGGGAGAATTGGCTGGCAATTTGTAGAAGACTGAAATTGGACCTACACCTTTCACCATTAACAAAAATTGACTCTCACTGGATAAAACATTTAAACTTAAGACATGAAACTATAAAGATTCTTGGAAAGAGTGCAAGAGAAACACTTGAAGAAATTGGCCTGTGAGAATACTTTATGTGGAGGACCTCCAGGCAGTTGAAACAACACCAAAAATACATTACTGGGATCTGATCAAACTAAAAAGCTTCTGCACAGCCAAGAACATAATAAATAAAGCAAGCAGACAGCCCTCAGAATGGGAGAGGATATTTGCAGGTTAAGCTTCTGACAAAGGTTTGATTACCAGAATCCATAGTGAACTCAATCTTAATAAGAAAAGAACAGATGATCCCATTTCATTGTGGACAAGGGACTTGAACAGAAGCTTTTCTGAAGATGATAGGCACATGGCCTACAGACACATGAAAAAATGCTCATCATCTTTAATCATCAGAGGAATACAAATCAAAACCACTTTTAGATACCATCTAACTCTAGTAAGATTAGTCCACATCACAAAATCCCAAAACTACAGATGTTGGCATGGATATGGAGAAAAGGAACACTTTTGCATTGGTGGTGGGGGTGCAAGGTAATACGCACCTTTTGGAAAGAAGTATGGAGAATATTCAGAGATCTAAAGTAGACCTGCCATTTGATCCTGCAATTCCTCTACTAGGTGTATATCCAAAAGACAAAAAATTCACTTTATAACAAAGATATTTGCACCAGATTGTTCATTTCAACTAAATGTATAATAGCTAAGTCTTGGAAGAAGCCCAAGTGTCCATCAACCCATGAATGGATCAGTAAATTGTGGTATATATGTACCATGGAATATTAAAAAAATCTGTAGACTTTACCTCTTTTACATTTACATGGTAGAAGCTGCAACATATCCTACTTAGTAAAGTATGTCTAAAAAGGAAGAAAAAATATCTAACGTACTCAGTACTATTATGAAACCAATTTACAATCACTCACACTTTCATATGAAGAATAGATCACAACTATAGCCCAAGATGAAGGGGAGGATGGAATAAGAGGGGGAGGTCAGATCGAAGGAGAGTGAATGATGGGATCACACCTATGGTGCATAATGCAAGAGTACATGTCGGATCTATTAGTATAGAGTATAAATGTCTTTATACTAATACTCTATACAATAATTAAGTAAACGAGATGAGGTATATATTAACCAGTGTGATGTAATTGTAATTGTTACTAATTCTATGTGAAATCAGCACATTGTACCCCATAAATGCATTAATGTATACATGCTCTATGTGTTTACAATTTAACTAAAAAATTAAATATATATTATGTATTTAATATATATGTAACATGTTATGTATTATATATTTCATATATATATATGTATTTTTTTTTACTCCTATGTTATATATAATTGCTGTGATTTCCTTCAGTAATTGCGAGAAAGGCATGGGATATGCTTCCTGGCACTATATATTGCTATTTGTCTCTTATGATGCCTTTTTCTTGACCACAAACCTTTTCCTCTATTGGAGGTTAGGAGGACACATGCCTCTACTGTCTTTTCTTTGGTGTGGAAGGGGATAGGTATGGGACAGAACTGCATGACTGTTTCTTCTTTGGTACTTTGACCAATTCATTCTTCCATTCTTTGAATATCTACTGAGCATTGAATTAAATTAAAATCTCTGTTTTTGTGGTACACATTGCCATGGGGGGAAATAGACCCTAAACAAATGTACAGGGGTCAGAGAAAGACTTATGTGGTGGTGACATTCAAGAAAGCAAAAGAAGTACAGTAAGCAGGGGAGTGTTCTGAGATAAAGTGGAAGAGACAGATAGGAGACATATTGTGTAGTCAAGTTTAGTAAGCATTCTAGTCAACTCCTCATCCTTTTAATTGGCCATGATACTCTTCTGCTATCCCTATCTGCCACCTGAGTTTGTAGCATTTTGAAATAGTTTCTACATGTATCATGGTCTGTCTTTTCCTCCGTAGGCCTATATGCTTGTGTCTGTATCTATTTTTCCTGTTGTGTCTATGAACTTGGATTGATAAGGGATGTTAGAACATATATTTATTTCATTTGCTGTCTTAATCTATTTACTACATATTAAACATATTTTCTGTAATTTCAATGGGACCAATGCAGCACTTTCTAAATTGTATATTTGCACCAGATTGTTCATTGTAGCTCAATTCATAATTGCCAAGTCATGGAAGAAGCCCAAATGCCCATCAACCTATGAATGGATTAATAAATTGTCATATATGTATACCATGGAATATTATGCAGCATTAAAAAAGATGGAGCCTTCACCTCTTTTATGTTTACATGGATGGAGCTGGAAAATCTTTTTTTAAAGAGGTTTCTTTTTTTATTAAGTCATATATACATAGATCATGAATACATTTATTCCTTTGTGAGATCCAATGTGTTGATTATTTGTACAAATTGGAGTGTATACTCTCCTTAGTAAAGTATCTCAGGAATGGAAAAAAAATCCAGTGTACTCAGTACTATTATGAAACCAATTTATAATCACTCACACTTTCATATGAAAGATGAATCACAACTATAGCCCAGGATAGGAGATGGGAAAAGGAGATGGGAGAAGAGTGGGGTGGTGGTTTGATAGAGGGAAGGTAAACGGTGGGACCACACCTATGGAATCTATAAAGTATAGAACACAAATGCCATAAATAGTGATTAAGTAAATGAGGTAAAAGCTATGATAATTAGTTGGATGTAACCACTCCAATTTGTACAAAAAATCAACACATGGAATCCCACACAGGCATAAATGTATTCATGATCTATGTATATATGACTAATAAAAGAAAAAAGAAATAAAAATAAGGTGTAGTCTTGAGGATTTTTTTCTCCTCTTGAAAATAATGTTATTAGTCCAAAATGGGACTTCAGAAAATAAAAACTGGTTGTTCACAATTTTACTTTCAGTAACTCTTGACGTCAGCTACCTAAGTGTTAATAATAATGCTTACACAAAACAATATGCTTACTGCTACATAGGCTGTCTTCCTTCAGACAAATGATAAATCCTATTCTTTTTCCTTTTATATTCTCTTTTAGTCTTCTAGATTAGTACTGGCCATTATCATATTTTCCAAAGTATTTGTGGTTATCTGTATTAATTTTTGTATTGTTACAGGGGATTTATTTTTAAAGCACTCATTTAGATACAATAGTTAATTCTGGGAGGCTTTTGCAAGAGGGTAGGGAGACAAGGAGAAGAGAGAATGATTTTATATTATGGCCAGCATGGTCTGATGTTGATGACAGTTTTTAGAGTATGAATTTGAAATAATTTTCAAGTACTTTGTAAATTCATGTTTGTTTACATAGTACTTTGTGAATTTCTGTGTGCTTACATAAAGTAAGAAACTTGATTAGCTGATATTTATCTGTAAATCCAAGTGCCTAAATAGCTTCTTTTCCAGTGTTATATACCATATTTCAAGCCTCTTTAACTCTAAAATAGAGTAGAAATGAAAATTTTCACTTTAATAGCATGAGGCTTTAGTAACCTTTGTAGTAAATTGATACTTATGAAGAAATAATTTCTATTTTGATTTTTGGTTGTCTTTTTTGGCTTTTGTTTCATTTCATTTTTGAGACAGGGTCATTGCTTTTTTACTCATGCTAGAGTGCAGCAGTGTGATCATAGCTTACAGTAGCCTTGAACTTCTGGACTCAGGCAATCATCCTGCCTAAGCCTC